TACTGGAATAGGGTAGTCTGTGCATTAAGCATTTGGCACTGAGTTTTCCCATATAACAGGAACCGATGAAAGAGCATCCGAGGTCCCACACTATCTCATCGCCTGGGAGAGGATTGGAATTTCTGGTTGGTTAAATACCCCAGAATTCCTACCTCTCTTATGGCTTTGAAGTATAGCGTAGTGGATACAGCATGCAACTGCCACCTTGTTGGCCAGTGTTCGAGTCTCCTGGTGGGTTGAGTGTCTAAAAAGTTATAAACTTCAGCTACTGGAATAGGGTAGTCTGTGCATTAAGCATTTGGCACTGAGTTTTCCCATATAACAGGAACCGATGAAAGAGCATCCGAGGTCCCACACTATCTCATCGCCTGGGAGAGGATTGGAATTTCTGGTTGGTTAAATACCCCAGAATTCCTACCTCTCTTATGGCTTTGAAGTATAGCGTAGTGGATACAGCATGCAACTGCCACCTTGTTGGCCAGTGTTCGAGTCTCCTGGTGGGTTGAGTGTCTAAAAAGTTATAAACTTCAGCTACTGGAATAGGGTAGTCTGTGCATTAAGCATTTGGCACTGAGTTTTCCCATATAACAGGAACCGATGAAAGAGCATCCGAGGTCCCACACTATCTCATCGCCTGGGAGAGGATTGGAATTTCTGGTTGGTTAAATACCCCAGAATTCCTACCTCTCTTATGGCTTTGAAGTATAGCGTAGTGGATACAGCATGCAACTGCCACCTTGTTGGCCAGTGTTCGAGTCTCCTGGTGGGTTGAGTGTCTAAAAAGTTATAAACTTCAGCTACTGGAATAGGGTAGTCTGTGCATTATATATATATATATATATATATATATATGTCGTACCTAGTAGCCAGAACGCACTTCTCAGCCTACTATGCAAGGCCCAATTTGCCTAATAAGCCTAGTTTTCATGAATTAATGTTTTTTCGACTACCTAACCTACCTAACCTAACCTAACCTAACGTTTTCGGCTACCTAACCTAACCTAACCTATAAAGATAGGTTAGGTTAGGTTAGGCAGGGTTGGTTAGGTTCGGTCATATATCTACGTCAATTTTAACTCCAATTAAAAAAAATTGACCTCATACATAATGAAATGGCTAGCTTTATCATTTCATAAGAAAAAAATTAGAGAAAATATATTAATTCAGTAAAACTTGGCTTATTAGGCAAATCGGGCCTTGCATAGTAGGCTGAGAAGTGAGTTCTGGCTACTAGGTACGACATATATATATATATATATATATATATATATATATAATATATATATATATATATATATATATACACACACACACACACACACACACACATACATACATACATACATACATACATACATACATACATACATACATACATACATACATACATACACACACACACACACACACACACACACACACACACACACCATATATATACATACAGTATATACATACACAAAATGTATACATATATACATACACATTAAAAGAAAAAGAAAGAAAAGAAAAAGACAAGCCGCTGACTGGTGGGCAGAGAGCACCATGCTGGCCAAACGAAGAAGGCACCAAGAGAGCACAAAAACTGCACCAAAAAGCCCACCTCGACAACAAAAAACCAAGGCCCTGGCACGAAAACAACACGAGCCACGACCCAAAAAGATCAGCCTGCAAGCCAGAAAGACCCCAAACCCCTGAAGGCAGAATTGGGTCACACATGAGGCAACTAAAAGCCCCCTAAACCCACAAAGGGGCCCAAGAGGAAGAAACCTCCGGAACGAAACCAAAGAACTCAAAGGAACCCGGAAGCGAACCCGGGGAAGCCCAAACCACCACATTTGCCGGCAGAAATACACCCCAGAAAGGGCAAAGCATAGCCCCCAGACAGAACCCCCAGGGAGACGGCAAAAACAGACCGAAAACCGAAGGACACAAGGTGTGGGAGCAAGCATAAACAGACAGGAACACTGAGCTCAAACCCCAGGGCCCAGACCCAAACAGACAGAAAACGCAAAAACCGATGTAAAAACCAACATCCAAGCATTCCCAGAGGAACAGAAGACGGGCAGAACACCCCAGAAAAAGCAAAGAAACGGCAACAGGAGGATAAAACCCCCGAAGGAGGTGAAAAACTCATCCAAAACGCGAGCTCACACACCCAGGAACAAGTAAACAAACCGCAGCGCCACCCCGGTGGCCAAGTGAGGAAGTAACCCGCAAAAAGAAAATGGCCACCAGAACAAGGAGCCGTGACTGACGCAATAGATTCGAAAAATCACCAGCAAATGTGGGAAGTAAGCAGATGAGAGGGACGAAAAACCCCGCCCAGAAGCAGAAAAACCAGGCAGGGCCAAACAGCCCCAGAACTGCTACCGGGCATTCCCTACAGCCCCGGGAACCTGCAACAGAAGGCCCCAGGGGCAAAGCCCTCCTCCATGCCCTCTGCCCTTAAGGAAAAGGAAGAGTCCAGAGGAAAGGCAGCAAAGAAATGGCCGCTGGTAAGACCCAGAAGCCTCTGCATGAGGTTATTTTGAGTTGATTTCGGGGCTTTAGTATCCCCGTGGCCCGGTCCTCGACCAGGCCTCCACCCCCAGGAAGCAGCCCGTGATAGCTGACTAACTCCCAGGTACCTATTTACTGCTAGGTAACAGGGGCATAGGGTGAAAGAAACTCTGCCCATAGTTTCTCGCCGGTGCCCGGGATCGAACCCAGGACCACAGGATCACATGTCCAGCGTGCTGTACCTGATTGATACCTGCTTGATGGGGTTCTGGGAGTTCTACTCCCCAAGCCCGGCCCGAGGCCAGGCTCGACTTGTGAGAATTTGGTCCACCAGGCTGTTGCTTGGAGCAGCCCGCAGGGCCACATACCCACCACAGCCCGGCTGATCCGGAACTTCTCTTAGAAAACAGTCCAGTTTTCTCTTGAAGATGTCCACGGTTGTTCCGGCAATATTTCTTATAGTCGCTGGGAGGACGTTGAACAACCGCGGACCTCTGACGTTTATACAGTGCTCTCTGATTGTGCCTATGGCACCTCTGCTCTTCACTGGTTCAATCTTGCATTTTCTTCCATATCGTTCACTCCAGTAACGCTCAGCCGACTGTCCGCTCGGCCGACCGGCCCCTCGGCCGAGGAGGATCAGGCTCGAAAACCTCCAGCCCCAACCCAAATGGGGCAACCCCCCGAAGCTGCCCAAGTCTCGGCACTAACTAAACCCCCGCCCCGACCCTGAAACCCGCAGACGGTCAGGAGCCAGGAACAGGGAGGGGAAGGGGGCGAACAACTAACCAAAACAGGGCGGCCCCAGGGCATCCGGGTGGGAAACCAAACTAGAGCGTTGCAACAACTTAAACCAAGCATGCAATGCAGATGCTGCCTGTTTCTGAGCAGTAAGGACATCAGAAGAATACTGGAGAACAAGCAGAGAACACATCTCGTAAGACTCCGGGTCAAGGTGTCAGTGACCCAACAGGCAGCATGACGGAGGTAAAAGAGGCGACTGTCACCCTGAGGAAAGGGCACAGCAACCAACAAACCCACACAAGATGGGTTGGAACCCGGAAGATACATCCACTGGTTCACTGAGCCCCGACAGGCTTTTCCAGGGCCCGTAGGTTGACTGCTACTGGAAGCCCAGGCAAGGTATTGCTAACCGGTTAAGACCCAAAGCTAACAAGGGGTAGATGCGAACACTGAAAACCCCTGCGATGTGTACAATCACGGGGGCCTAGCAGAGGGCTACCAAACAATACCAGTGGAATTATAGCCACACTTTAGGCAGACCCCCACCAGGCAAACAAAAATAAAAACAAAAGAAAAACCCTGCAAAAGTACACCGTCCCCAGAGGCAACAGGAACCGGTCATCGCGTAGGTAGCAGGTCGCGAAACACCTTGACGCCCTAACCAGCAAAAACCAGTCCCTACCCAGGGCTAAACAAGGGCCCAAGCCCCAGCTGGCCCCAAAGGTGAGGCAAATGTTGAGCAGCAAGAACCCCTACGAGAATGGTTCCAGAACGCCCCAGGGAAGATAACCCTGTCACGCTGGGGCAGTACTCACAGGGCGCTTATAGAAGGAAGCCCCAAAGCACATGCAGCCCTGGTACTGATGAGGAACACCTGGCAACCGCACAATACACGGCAGTGAGTGCCACGAAGGAAAACACCGCCTAGGAAACTGTTGACATTAGCTTACGAACTGGAGTGCTATGCAGCCGGCGCAGTGAGGTCTGGGGGCCCACACGGGCCACGGGCTGCGCGGAGTTTCAATAGTGTGTTGTGTTTGCTTGTTTCCTTGGGATTGTAGGGAGTTCTACCTCTCTGTTTGGTTTTTGTTGTTAGTTTCTTACCATGCGGGGTTTGTTTTGTTATGCCTACCTTTCTGGGTGCATAACCCCGGTCGATGGCAGATAAGGAAAACCCCCAACCACAGGGGGGTTTTCCAGGGCCATTGCTCCCTGAAACCTCTGTGAAGGGGCCAGGTTCTGGCTCATGGTCCCTGGTAGGTCTGAATTCCATAGCTAATGTCTAGGTCTAAAATAACATACATTAGCCCGATAAGCTCCGGGGAGCCATAGGGGCTCCCCTCAGAAAAATAATGAAGCTGTAAATTGGGATATCTTGAGGTTATCTTGAGATGATTTCGGGGCTTTTTAGTGTCCTGGCGGCCCGGTCTTCGACCAGGCCTCCACCCCCAGGAAGCAGCCCATGACAGCTGACACCCAGGTACCTATTTAACTGCTAGGTAACAGGGGCATAGGGTGAAAGAAACTCTGCCCATTGTTTCTCGCAGGCGCCTGGGATCGAACCCAGGACCACAGGATCACAAGTCCAGTGTGCTGTCCGCACGGCCGACCGGATTAAACCCACATCCCAATTATATAGAAACTTATCAAGGGATCTGGGTTAGATCCCATCATACAGCTTCAATATTTTTCTCTTATTTCAGTTTCAGAATTTTCATATTTCAAAGAGAACTTGACAAAATAAATGAGCTTACCAATTTCATCTTTTGTTTTGCCAGTTGGTGTGAGGAAAGCCCTACTGGCCTCATAACCTCCAAAGAAGAAGAAATATCCCGGCATTTCTCTTGCAAATGTTGACGTAAGGCCCCTAAACATCCCTGGAACACCGTCTGCCCTCAAGATATTTCTTGTGAGTTTCCAAGGTCCAATACGCTCCTGTGGTAGAAGGCATCATCATCATCATTATTATTATTATTATTATTATTATTATTATTATTATTATTATTAAGCACTTTCAATAGGAGGTAAGGCAATTGGCCTGTAATGGATAGATATTGAGAGATAGATCCCAACCTTCTCTCTAATGATAGGATAAATGACTCCACACCCATTTTAAATGGCAACAGCTGGTCATTAAAAACATTCATTGTACACTTTGTGTGATTAGTGGCTTTGTTGAAAAAATAAATATTTACCATGTAAAACCTCTAATATTTTTTATAATACTGTATTATTGACTATTATTACAGTATTATTAATATTGAGAAACTTACTACAATTCCATAGTAATTGAATGAAAGTGAAGGAAAGACCCATTACATACTGTACGTAAGTGTATAATTTAAACAAAATTTTCGGATGAAACCTATATCGTGCTGTTAAACAATGTTCTGAACAAAGATTCTTGGAGCATGTGTTGATATGTCTGGCAGATTGCCTCACGTGGTGTCCATCACTGGACGTTGTTATCATTATGCTCCCCAACGGTTTCCCCCAAGGGGTGCAGCAACTTCTCAAAGCAACAAGAATGTAACAACTCTTGTATATAAAAAAAAAAAGTACTGTTATACAACTCAACTAGTGCGGCGTCACAGTGCTGCGCCATTAGTGAAATATTTTTTTACAAGAGTTTTTTATTTTCATAGTAACTTTAAACATTATTGACCATGACTATGTCTGGTAGCAGCATCAATCATTCTGGAGGTGTTAAGAGGAAGAAGGTTGTCCTAGCAATTAAAGACAAGTTACGTGTTATACACCTCAACCAGTGAGGCGTCACAGGCAAGCCAAATGCCTTCAACAAGTGAGGTGCCACAGGCAAGCCAAGCACCTTCAACAAGTGAGGCACAAGCAAGTGCCTTCAGCAAGTGAGGCGCAAGCAAGCGCCTTCAACAAGTGAGGCGTAAGCAAGCGCCTTCAACAAGTGAGGCATCACAGGCAAGCCAAATGCCTTCAACAAGTGAGGCATCACAGGCAAGCCAAATGCCTTCAACAAGTGAGGCTGCACAGGCAAGCCAAGCGCCTTCAACAAGTGAGGCGCAAGGAAGCACCTTTAACAAGTGAGGCATCACAGGCAAGCCAAGCGCCTTCAACAAGTGAGGTGTCACAGGCAAGCCAAGCGCCTTCAACAAGTGAGGTGTCACAGGCAAGCCAAGCGCCTTCAATAAGTGAGGCGTCACAGGCAAGCCACGTGCCTTCAACCAGTGAGGCGCAAGCAAGTGCCTTCAATAGTGAGGCCTCACAGGCAACCCAAATGCCTTCAACCAGTGAGGCTTTAGCAGCTGGCAGTCAAAACTAACTTTCCTTAATGAACTGTACAGTAATTTTAAGTGCTAATTTTAGTATTGTGTTAGTATAAGTTACGTAAATTGTTAAGAATTCTAAACTTCAAGATGTGTGGCATCAATCAAGAAGACGAACACCAACAAGGTAAGTTGAGGTTTCTAGTTGAATATTTAATAATTATATGTGGCAAGGCAATTCAAATTATGTTGTTTGTAGTATAAAAATAATTGGAAATGGTCACTTTTGAACTCGTAGGTGAAAAAATGCCATTATCCGGAACACATGATAATCCGGCTGGGGGTCTTTCCCATATAGTCCGGATGATCGAGTGGAGACAGTACATGAAAATAACCTACTGGTTCCATATTTTGTGCAAGAGCCACTTCTCTCATCGCTTGCAATCGACATTTAACCAGCTCTGTTGGACACAGGGTAAGGGACGAGAAGAATGCTGCAAAAAAGCCCGCCATTGCATTGCTGAAGGGCTTCAGGTCTTCTACCCTCTGTAAAGTGAATAACAGCAATGTTCATTCAATACAAAACAATCGTAGGTGGTATTTTAGTAAACCTACTAGTATTTACTACTAAGTCCCTACTCTACTTTAACTAATGTAAGATACTCTTGACAATTTTAATGAAACAAGAATCTAAAATATTCTTTCAGTTAAATCTACAACAGGATGTTTCAGTTGTGAAATGACTATGCCGATCCCTGCACTTCAAGACCCTATGCTGTATACTGAACACTAATGCTCACCTGCACACCAGCAGCATATGCCACACCTTTTTGACACATGCCATACCCAGCAAAAAGGACCGAGTTCTCTGCAATATTTGCAGCAAGAGCTGGAAGTGTTCCAGCATAGAGACCTCTGATGCCATCACGCTTCACAGTCTGGATAAAACAGCGTGTCATCCCTTTGTATAGGTGAGGGAATGTCTGCATCTTCACCTTGACAGTATCTAGAGGCTGGCCAACATATACACAAGCTACACCACCTATTAATTCAGAGAAGTGCAATTTGTGTTTTATATATTTAACTTTTGATTTAGTCACTATGTAAACACCTTAACTTGTCAAATTTATTGTAAATTGCATAAATAAAAGAATCATAATATTATCAAATCAAAATCAAAGGCTTTATTGACCTGCTGCACCATTATATACATCACTCATTCTTATATTGTATTTCCTAACAGTTAACACTGTATTTCTAGAAAAGTTGGAGTAGCCAGTGAAAACTGAGTGCCTGAAATAGAGTTGATTGAGTTTGTTAAATGGGTGAGTCCTTTCATACAAAACGATATCATTCGCTTGTGAATTATTTCCTCAAGTGTAGATGTGGATATTAGGCCAGGATGAGATTGTAATGCAAGGATGGACTTCCAACATACATCTTGACCATTTCCTTTATTAGCAATTAAGTTTACCAAGGTGAGTACAGTATTTTGTAGGTCCCATAGTTCACATCTATGCAAGCTTAACAGTGACTATTAAATAACTTTAACTTTACTTTTGGCAAGGTATCAAAATAACCAAATTCACTCATTAAGACATTTGTTCTGACTTTCAGGTCTCTAATAGCATCAGAAAAATTGGCAAGTGGGGCCTTTATCAATATAATATGCCCCAAAAGCATTTTAGAATACAGTACAGTACTTTGCTGACATTTCTCGGCCTAGAAATTTAGTTTGGAAACTCAATAAAATGAGTCCTGAGAGTTAAAAGCAACATTTGGCAGGATTGAATGTTAGGTTATATTCTGCACAACTGTACATCTTTCCCAAATTTCTATCAAGATTTCCATACCCTCTTTGGTTAGTGTGAGTAGAACTATACCATTAGCATAATGGAAAATAATGACCCAAGTACTGCCTATGTGACAGCCAGCTCTACTAGCTCTAACTCTTTCAACAATGGATCAAGATAGACAGCAAACAATATAGATCTAAAAACCATCTAGTTTGACTCCATTTTTAGGGACAAATTTTCAGTTATTCTATTTCACAGCTAATTTGCATACCTGATAAGAAATATACTGCATATATGGTAATTATACAGCAATGACAAAATATGCTTTTCTGCTCAGCAGTTCTGCAGAAAGTGTGGCATGTTCCACCTTGTCTAAAGCTTTGGAAGCATCAATAAACGGAGAGAACAGAGCTACCTTGTGAATTGTAGTGCTGAATAGTTTCCACCCCTACGAAACATGGTTGAGTAACCAATTTTATATGCAAATTGGTTGTCAAGAGATGTTTAATTGGAATGGTAACAAGGGGAACTACCAGGAGAAAGTGCCAAACCATTATGACTATATAGCACTTGGAAGGGATCAGGATTTCAGATGGGACAAGGGGGAAGGAATGGGGCCCAACCACTTGGAAGATCGGGATTGAATGCCGACCTGCATGAAGTGAGACCGTCGCTCTACCATCCAGCCCAAGTGGTTATCTTGGTTACCTTTTTGAGATAATTTCGGGGCTTTAGTGTCCCCGCGGCCCGGTCCTCGACCAGGCCTCCACCCCCAGGAAGCAGCCCGTGACAGCTGACTAACACCCAGGTACCTATTTTACTGCTAGGTAACAGAGGCATAGGGTGAAAGAAACTCTGCCCATTGTTTCTCGCCGGCATCTGGGATCGAACCCAGGACCACAGGATCACAAGTCCAGTGTGCTGTCCGCTCGGCCAACCGGCTCCTGGTTGGGGTAGGAATGGGAACAAGTGCAAAGGTATTTATTACAGATGGCAATGCACCATGGGAGAGAAAGCCTATAAGACACATACACAGAGGTACAGCTTTGGTATTCCATGTTTAAGGTTGTAAGAGTATATGTTAAAGGGACTATCAAAACTCCCATTTTAGCATACACTGGTCTACTTACAGCCTTCACATTGTAGTCAATAATGCAAATTTCCTCTTCAAATTGTGCATTTAATAATGAAATAATACAAATGCCTCATGCCATACAAAATATAGAGGATAAACCTTAATCAGTATTATAATAATTCAATGTGTCAGGGGACAGGAAGCCAGAGTGTATTCATACACATTTGGCTTTTATCGAGCCCCCCCCCCCAGGCCGAATTACTGACCCCCTTACCTTGAGGTGCTCCCCCCCCCCCAAGATGCAACCCCACAACAAGCAGACTAACTCCTGAGTACCCACTCATTGCTAGGTGAACAGAGGCATTAGGTGAAAAGAAATGTGCCCAACCATTTCTGTCCCGCCCGGGATTCGAACCCAGAATTCTCGATTGTGCGTCGAGAACGAACCTGTACTACTGGGACCGTAACCCAGTCACTACAGGGACCAGGAAGGCAGGAATTATTCAGTATATAATAATTTAATTATAATAATTATATAATTATAATTTTATTTAGGTAAAGGTACATACATAAAGAGATTTTACAATGTTTGTTGGCTTTATAGATAGAGCTAGTACATACAATGCCTAAAGCCACTATTACGCAAAGCGTTTCGGGCAGGAATGATAATGTTTACAAGCTATGCTCTTATTTTGACTTTCTGTTATAATAATAATAATGCAATTCAGGTATTGTAAGTTTGAGTAAACTAACCCAGTTATAGATATGCAATCATTTATTAATATATTGTAGTCATTTTACTTTATTTATTAGGGCGATGTCATCGTCAAACATATGTCGCCAACGTATAGGTTTCAATCAAATGTAAATTAAATGTTTACGCTCAAATTAAAAAATCTCTATTGACAATAACAGCTGACTGAAGGGAGAGAAAATAGTAACTATATGATACATCCAGTAATGACATTAAGAGCTTAACAGGTTAAACGCCAGTGCTAGCATCACAGGCACAAGAACCTTTATTAGAGTGAGGTGAAGGTGGGGGTGAGGTCAGGGTGGTGAAGGTGGGGGTGAGGTCAGGGTGGTGAAGGTGGGGGTGAGGTCAGGGTGGTGAAGGTGGGGGTGAGGTCAAGGTGGTGAAGGTGGGGGTGAGGTCAGGGTGGTGAGGTGAGGTCAGGTGGTGAAGGTGGGGGTGAGGTCAGGGTGGTGAAGGTGGGGGTGAGGTCAGGGTGGTGAAGGTGGGGGTGAGGTCAGGGTGGTGAGGTGGGGGTGAGGTCAGGGTGGGGGGTGAGGTCAGGGTGGTGAAGGTGGGGGTGAGGTCAGGGTGGTGAAGGTGGGGGTGAGGTCAGCTCTAGCAACAATAAAGGTAAGCAACACATGCACATGTCTGTCGTGTACTCACCCATAGAGCCTCCCATGAGGTCGATGAACGTATCCTTGTAATGCTGCATTTTGTTTATCTATTGTCCTGTCACCACAACGAGCTACAAAAGAGAAAAGGTTTAAATAGTATCAGCAAGAAAATACACAGTACTGTATGTTGTACCCTTTCTCAAGACTGAAGATTCATTTATTTATTGTGCACCCGTACCTGTCCCATGGATGGTGGTGGGAAGGGGTTACAGTTATTGTGCACCCGTACCTGTCCCATGGATGGTGGTGGGAAGGGGTTACAGATATTGTGCACCCGTACCTGTCCCATGGATGGTGGTGGGAAGGGGTTACAGAGGCATGTAATGGGTTCAGGAACTCAACCCCAGGCTTTCTTAAGTGAAGAATTATATTTGATGATTATGTACTGATAATTTTATAATTATGTACATGTTGTCAAGTTTTATAAATGTATGACATACTAATTCCTGCTGTTGGGTACATGAATGCTGTACTAAGATTTACTGACAGACCTTTCCCAGGATGCAACCCTTAACATTGACCTATCTCCTGGGTATTTATTTAACTGCTAGGTGAACAGAGAAATCAGGTAAAAAAAAAAGTGCACAACTGCCTCTATCCTGCTCAGTAATTGAACCCGAGTCCATTGATTGTATGCTGAGGGTGTACAAGAAGGTACAATGCAGGCTTTGTGAGATACAACAAGGTACATAAATTATTGGTATTTTTACATTCTTGCAAAGCTATTAACATGCAAAGTGTTTTGGGCAGGTCCTTAATCTAACATATCAGGTTGGATGAAAAGGTACATTGTAGCAAAATTTTATGTCAGCATATAACTACAATATAAATTGAGAGGTGATTACACTGGTGAAGATATACTGTATGTCTTAAGTACTAATATTGGGCAAGTGGGTAGTAGAAGATGCAGTGTGAATTTGAAGCACAATGTAGGAAACTATGAGGATGAAATGAGGTACTTTTTGGTTTTACTTTTGAATAAGGCATAGGTTGGAGAATTTTTTTAATTCATTAGGGAGTGAGTTCCATAGACTGGGTCCTTTTATTTGCATGGAGTGTTTGCACAGATTTAGTTTGACTCTGGGGATATCAAAGAGATATTTATTTCTGGTGTGGTGCTCATGGGTTCTATTACACCTATCAAGGAAAAGTTTCAGATCAAGATTAGCATTTAGGAACAAGGTTTTGTACATGTAAATAGCACATGAGAATGTGTGGAGTGAGTGTATGTTTAGCATGTTAAGGGACTTAAACAGAGGGGCTGTGTGTTGTCTGAAGACAGAGTTTGTTATAGTTCTGATAGCAGATTTTTGCTGAGTGATGATGGGCTTGAGGTAATTTGCAGTGGTTGAACCCCATGCACAGATACCATATGTAAGATAAGGATAGATTAGTGCGTAGTATAATGAGAGGAGAGCAGAGTGGGGAACATAGAGTAATATCTGATTTTAGAGAGTATACTTGTCTATGTATAGGCCAAGGAAGACTTATTTTTTTGGTAATGTTAACATTGTCTATCTGACAGTTATGTCATGGTACAGAATAAAATTTAGAAGTCTCTTGTCTATGTTTAGTATGTTGGTTGCATTCGTAAGTGGATTTTTTTTCTCTCATTATTTATTGCTACATGTTAACATTGTCTAATCTGTAAGTTGAATTTGATAAAATTGATAGGGAAGATTTCCTGAGACCTAAAACCTTTTTTAGGTCTCAGAACCTTTCCTGAGATTTCCTAAAAACTTCAAGAACAAGAGGTCATAGATTTAAACTAACTAAACAAAGATGCCGAAGAAATATAAGAAAATTCACTTTTGAAAACAGAGTGGTAGATGGTTGGAACAAATTAGATGAGAAGGTGGTGGAGGTCAAAACCGTCAGTAGTTTCAAAGTAATATATGACAAAGAGTGCTGGAAAGACGGGACACCATGAGCGTAACTCTCATCCTGTAACTACACTTAGGTAATTACACACCCCAGGAAGCAGCCTGTAACAGCTGTCTAACTCCCAGGTACCTATTTACTGCTAGGTAACCGGGAGCATTAGGGTGAAAGAAACTCTGTCCATTTGTTCTCCGCCAGCGCCGTTAATCAAACCTGGGTTCACAGGACTACGTATACAGCGTGCTGACAACTCAGCCCAGAGGTGGTGGGACACCACCAGACATAAATGTATGTACCTCTACCTGAATAAACATCTCATCTTATTTTATTTAATATTATTTAATATGTGGGGGTTGGGGTCAGAATAAATGAAGGTAGTATTATTACAAAATAGCATAGGTTTAAGAATGTTAAAAACATTGGCAAATCACTGATGTATATAAGAAATAAGAGAGGTCTCAAGATGCTGCCCTGTGGCACCCCTACTGTCAATGGTAGAGTGGGGGAATTTATGTTATTGATGACTACATATTGGTGTCTATCAGAGATAGGAACGAATATAGCTCAGAGCAAGTCCTCAGATATCATATTGAAGTTTAAGTAAGAGGTTTACAGTATCAAAAGCCTTTCTCAGGTCAATGAAGATGCCAATTGGGAACTCATTTTTGTCAAGAGCTGTGTAGATTATATCAAGCAGACTAATATGGCATTATTGGTACTCTTTTTGGGAACGGAAGCCAAATTCACAGGGACTTAATATGTTGAGTTTTACAAAGTAGGAATTTTTTCAAATATTTTTGAGTATAGTAGGTTTGATATGGGTCAGTAATTGTTTATGTCAGCTATCTCGCCTATTTTATGAACTGGTGTTACTCTTGCTTTCTTAAGGATATCAGGAAAAATATTATGCTCTAGAGATTTGTTGAATAGCAGAGCTATGGGTAGTGCAAGAGCAGGGGCAGCACTCTTAAATATCATAGATGGTATTTCATTAATGTTCCCAGCTATGGTTTTAAGTGATTGAATTATGGATATAATGTCTGTCGGGCTGACTAGTAATAGGAGTAGAGAGTTAGGATAACTTCCTGCAAGATATGTAGTTATTTTTAATTACTTTCTACCACAGACATGACCACACATTTACAATGCTAACCAGCATATATACATTTTCTTCTGTCCTCCATGGACAAGGTTAGAGATTTGTTAAACATATAGTTCAGGGATTTATTGAACAATCAACCACAGAAGGTGATTGTAGTGTTTTTATATATTTATTTATTTATATACAAGAAGGTACATTGGGATTGTGAGGATACATAGCATAGTAATTACATTCTTGTAAAGCCACTAGTAAGCACAGCGTTTCGTGCAGAAAAAAAATGCTAAATTAACCTACATACATAAATACATAGATACACAGATTTAGGTATGCCCTACATAAAGTGTTCGATGTGTCTTTTACATAGTGTCATTAATGTGCATTTACAAAGGTGAAATGTAATTCTGATCAGCTTCCACATATACTTTACACATATATATACATATACACATATACATACATAAACATATATACATACATATATATGTAGTAACATGCGTCTGGGTCTCTGGGATTTTTCGGGCAAGGTTAGCACCAACTAATGAAAAGAAGCTATTAAATTCAGTTGCTGTTTCTAAGTCTGATACAAGTGTGTAACCATCCTTGGAGAGTTTTATCTGCTTGTTATGTGATTGTTGTTTAGAACCTAAGGTGTTTAGAGATGGCTCATAATATATTGCTTATATATGGGAACAAATAACCAGGTAACATAATAAATGTGGGATCATTGAATTGTTTCAAGCATAGGGGCCTGACAGTTGATTGGACAGCACTCAGGATTCATAGTCCTGATGTTCCGGGTTCGATCCCCAGTGGAGGCGGAAACAAATGGCCAGAGTTTCTTTCACCTTGATGCGACTGTTCACCTAGGAGTAAATAGGTACCTGGGAGTTAGACAGCTGCTACAGACTGCTTCCTGGGGGGTGTGTGTAACAAAAAGGAGGCCTGGTCGAAGATCGGGCCGCAGGGACGCTAAGCCCCGAAATCATCACAGGATAACCTCAAGATAGGTTAGACATATATTTATGAATGAGTTTGGAAGGATGTAAATAAGAGTTGCCTCAAATGGGCCAATAGGTCTTTTGCAGTTTTCTTAATTTTGTGTTATAATATTCTTATTATTTTGTATTAAAACAATGCTATGCTCCTTAAGCATGTATCCACCATATCAACAGTTTTATATTTAGGTAAGAATTTATTATTTATATTTATTACTAGCTGTACCCGGCCATGCGTTGCTAAGCAACAGCAACCCTCCCCCCGTCTCCCAGTCCTCCCCACTATTCCCCCTCCCGTGTCCCCTCGTCCTCCCAACCATCCCTCACTTCCCCGTCCCCCCAACCATTCCCCACTCACCCAGTCCCCTCGTCCTCCCCACCATTTTCTCCATCCCCCATCCCTATGTCCTCCCCACTACCCACTGTCCCTCGTCCTCCTATCCATTCCCCACTCCACCATTCCCTCGTCCTCTCCTCCATATCCCATTCCCCCGTCCTCTCTACCATTCTCCCCCCCCCCTCCCCCGTCCCCTCGTCCTCCCCACCATTCCCCAGTTCTCTGTCCCCTTGTCCTCCCCCACCAATCTACATTCCCCTGTCCTCTCGTCCCCACCATCCCCAACGCGCCTGTCCCCTTGTCCTCCCCACCATTACCCTCTCCCCTGTCCCCTTATCCTCCCCACCATCCCCTCGTCCTCCCCACCATCCCCTACTCCCGTCCCCTCGTCCTCCCCATCATTACCCTCTCCCCTATCCCCTCGTCCTCCCCACCATCCCCCACTCCCGTCCCCTCGTCCTCCCCATCATTACCCTCTCCCCTATCCCCTCGTCCTCCCCACCATCCCCCACTCCCGTCCCCTCGTCCGATGCATTTCCAAATGATCTGATGTTCCCATCAATAAAATATAAGAAAAACAATTAAAAAACAAAATGAAAAATTATGGAAAAATAAAAAAATAATCTATACTCAGGCAATGAACAGTATGGTAAACAAAGTTCAATTCCAATGCAATGTCCCTCAAAATAAATAAATCAAAATGAAAATAAATAAAAATCAAGGCAAATTAAATTTATCAATGAAATCGGAAACATTGAAATAGAATTCGTAATGGAATTTAGTATAGCGTGTGTGTTGCTATTACGTGCAACAGATGGCGCTGTTTTTGTAAAAACATGTTTTTACCTGTCAGAAGTGTGGCATCTATATAATAGGTATATAAAAACACGCGCATAATCAAATGGAACGTTGTGCCAGAATTTCAAAGCAATCGGTGAAGAACTCTGGGAGATTACAGCGCGTGTTACTCTTACGTCTAACAGATGGCACAGTTTAAAAAAAAAACATGTTTTTTCCTGTCACAGGTGAAGCATGTATACAGTAGGAATATAAAAACACGCGCCTATTCGAATGCAACGTGTCAAAATTTCAAAGCAATCAGTAAAAAGGTTTCGAAGATTTCTCTCACATGAAAAACACAGTTTTTTAAAAGAAGCATGTTTTTTTCCATCACAGATGTGACATCAATATAGTATGTATATAAAAACCTGCTTGGACGCGAATGGAACATGGTGTGTGAAAATTTCAAAGCAATCGGTGAAGAACTTTCAGAGATTAGCAATTTTGAACAAACGAACATTTCCATTTTTATTTATAGATATTACTCTTGTGAAAGCACTGTGCTCATATACTAGTCACTACATATCCAACACAGTTTGCCAATGTGACTTTAAAACTACAAATATACATAACCTAACTTAGCCATAAATGCCAAAACTGTAAAATTTTAAAATCTAGCTTGAAAAAATCATCAGGGCAAATGGGGGGGGGACCTTTGATAGGCCACTGGCTTTCTGTCTTCATTGAGGCTACTAGTGTGTTACCGGCCCCTCAGGTAAATTCAGGTAAAACGAGGTTTGTTGAAACTCTGAAGTACGATTCAACAACACCCCTTGGCCTTATCTGATATGGCTCATTCTCCAATGATATCAATAAAGGATACACTAGAGCAATCAAGAAATGTTTTAATAACCTCTGCTTAAATTAGCACAATTGTTGAACAATATATAGGCCTAGTCTTTTTTTTTTTTTTTTTTTTTTTTTTTTTGGACCAACCATCAGCTAATGCATAAGGTTTAGTTTATGCTAAACCTTAATAATATATATTTAAGAATTTAAAATCTTAACCAAATATAGTTTTTAAAAATAATTAATTATTACGTTATAGGTTGGCATGGCAGCTACCCACTTACCCACCTGCACCAGGTTTTGTAACTGAAAAATCTGGGAAGGTTTAAAGAATAACTGCATTTTTATTATTTTTTGCTTTAATATGGTGCAACTTAATTACAGCATTAGAATTTAATTTTCAATGCATTTTTATTTATTGCCTAGCAGTACCCAGCCACACGTTGCTGTGGCTCAGCAACGCATGTGCAATGCTGAACCACAGCAACCTTCCCTGTCCCCCAGTCCTCCCCACCATTTCCCCTCACCCGTCTCCTCAGCCTCCCAACCATTCTCCACTCGACCATCCCCTCGTCCTCCCCACCATTCCCCCCCTCCACCATGCTCCACTCCCTTGTCCCTTTGTCCTCCCCACCATTCTCCATTCCCCCAATCCCCTGGTCCCCACCATCCCAAACTCCCCCGTCCCCTCGTTCTACCCCACCATTACCCCCTCCCTAGTCCTCTCGTCCCCCCCCCACCATCTCTCACTTCCGTCCCCTCGTCATCCCCACCATTTCCCACTCCCTCGTCCGATGCCTTCCCAAATGGTGTGATGTTCCCATCAGAAAATTGGGAACATCAAAAACACATGTGTTTACCTGTCACGGGGGTGGCATCTATATACTGTACATAGTAGTTATATAAAAAGACGCGCCTGTTCGAATGCAACGTTGTGTCAAAATTTCAAAGCAATTGGTAAAGAGGTTTCAAAGATTTCCTTCACATGAAAAACACAGTTTTTCAGAAAAAGCTTGTTTTTTTTACCGTCACAGACGTGATATCTATATAGTATGTATATAAAAACCTGGCTGGATGCGAATGGAACGTTGTGGGAAAATTTCAAAGCAATCGGTGAAGAACTTACGGCGATTAGCGATTATGCACAAACATTTCTATTTTTATTTATATAGATTAAATAGATAAAATCCACCTTGTCCCAACCTGGGCAGGTTGGGGTTTTTTACCAATCCTGTTACATTTGAATTATTACAGTACCATGATCGAGTTGCTATCTTCGAACATCGGGTTAATAATGAACCACAAGAGTAGTTGTTCTATGCCATCACTACTATTTAAACAAACTTAAGCTGTCGACGACCGGGCCGCGGGGTCGCTAAGCCCTGAAATCATCTCAAGGTAACCAATCATCTCAAGGTAACCTAATGAAAAAGAAATGGCCGAATGTTTTGCATATTAGTAGCCTTAATTAATATGCAATATCCCTACCTACTAATTAGCCAATAGAACATATTATTTTGTATATTTTATAAATTATAATTATAATAATTATTATTATGAATAATAACTTGTAGTAAGGGGGTGGTAGTGGTCGAGGGAGATTTTGATCAAATTGTACGCGTGCATTTTGACAGAGCTCACTTTCTGATTGTCATAACTGAGCATAGGTATTGCTAGGTTAGGATTTTTTAGCCATGTTAAGTTCATTTGTGTCAGGTAAGGTTAGGTACAATTAGGTAGGCTTTAAAATCCCTTAGCGAGCTGTCTGTGTACGAAATGACTTTTATCTGTCAAGGCTAGGCCTACTGGAGGATTATTAAGCTGCCTTCTATAGGTCTCCTAATAAAAAATTCAAATTCAAAATTCAAAAATGTTTATTCAGGTAAAAGTACATACAAAGAAGATGAGTTACAAACATAATGTTGGATTTACAGATAGAGCTAGTACATATAATACCTAAAGCCACTAATACATACAGAGTTTAGAGCATGGTGTGGGGAAGAAAAACACTTAGACTAAAGGTTGATACTAATTGAGATTAAAGTATAATTGTGTTGAAAATGGAAAAAAGGGGGGGGGGAGAGGGAATCACCTGATTGTTTCCAGCATAGGTTAGACATATATATGAGTGAGTTTGAGTGTATATAATGGGAGCTGACTCGTATAGGCCAATAGACCAATAGGTCGCCTGCAGTATCCTTAACTCTTATGTTCTTATGTACCCATTAGCTGGTGGACAACGGTCATTCCATTTTAAATGTTTATTTTACGTGGAAGAGTTCCACCAAATGAATCTGAAACTACCACCAAATTCAGAAAAATTAATTCCTATCAAATAATTTGATTCCGAATAAAAGTGGTTGGTAAGGAATTTTCATCTTTAAGTATATAAGAACATTAGAAATAAGAAACTGAACAAGGCCTATTAACCCATACGCGGCAGCTGTTATCTATATCCACTCAAATTCATTTAAGAGTAACATGGCAGAAATCACCAATTATACAACTTGGTCAAACAAACAGCATTGTTTGAAAATAGCAAGACATGGGTTGACATTTAGAGGGTAAGGTAGGTTTAAGGGTAAGGTAGGTTTAAGGGTAAGGTAGGTTTAAGGGTAAGGTAGGTTTAAGGGTAAGGTAGGTTTAAGGGGGTAAGGTAGGTAAGGGTTAGGTTTTAAAGGGTAAGGTAGGTTAAAGGGTAAGGTAGGGTAGGTTAAAGGGTAAGGTAGGTTTAAGGGTAAGGTAGGTTTAAGGGTAAGGTAGGTTTAAGGGTAAGGTAGGTTTAAGGGTAAGGTAGGTTTAAGGGTAAGGTAGGTTTAAGGGTAAGATAGGTTACATGGTGTAACCAATAATTACCTTACCTTCAAATTAGGTCTTGACAGGACCAGACAGGAAGGTCAAGCTGCCTCCTCATGAACCTCACAGAGACGGGGGTAAAGCTGTCTCATACATGGGTATCCCTCACGGCCTATAATGAGGGGGCCCAACGCCCCACTGGGCTGGATTGTTTTAGGCCTAGTCTAGCAACCGCAAGGTCTTTCAACCTATAGGATCCTTCTGGGTCGGCAGGAGGGTCAAACACCCTCACAGTTCCCCATCGACGCCACCTGCAAAGGAAAAAGTGTATTGAAATCCACGACCCGACGGACTGCTCCCGGACCATCCAACTTACGCCTCGCCAACCTTACATTCTTGTACATTTTCTTACATAAATCACCTTCCAGCATTAGTGATCCACCTGAGAGCCGAGGAGTACTTACTGCTGGTATGATGAGTGGCCCTGCCACACACCAGTGGCAGCCATCATACCTGCCACTAGGGAGGGTCAGTACTGTCTCTGTAAGGTCAGCCATGGTGAGCACCCTTGACCGTAGTACCGTACCGTCCCTCCGTCCCTACCTTGGGGGGGGGGCGTTCACTGGGGGGTGGGAGGGTGCGTTCACTGGGGGGTGGGTGGGTGCGTTCACTGGGGGGGGGGGGGGGTGCGTTCACGGGGGGGGGGGGTGCGTTCACTGGGTGGTGGGTGGGTGCGTTCACTGGGGGGTGGGTGGGTGGGTGCGTTCACTGGGGGGTGGGTGGGTGGGTGCGTTCACTGGGGGGGGTGCGTTCACTGGGGGGGGTGCGTTCACTGGGTGGTGGGTGGGTGCGTTCATTGGGTGGTGGGAGGGTGCGTTCACTGGGTGGTGGGAGGGTGCGTTCACTGGGGGGTGGGAGGGTGCGTTCACTGGGGGGTGGGTGGGTGCGTTCACTGGGGGGTGGGTGGGTGCGTTCACTGGGTGGTGGGAGGGTGCGTTCACTGGGGGGTGGGAGGGTGCGTTCACTGGGGGGTGGGTGGGTGCGTTCACTTGGAGGTGGGAGGGTGTGTTCACTGGGGGGTGGGTGGGTGCGTTCACTGGGTGGTGGGAGGGTGCGTTCACTGGGTGGTGGGAGGGTGCGTTCACTGGTGGATGGGAGGGTGCGTTCACTGGGTGGTGGGAGGGTGCGTTCACTGGGTGGTGGGGGGGTGCGTTCACTGGGTGGTGGGAGGGTGCGTTCACTTTGTGGTGGGGGGGCGTTCACTGGGGGATGGGAGGGTGCGTTCACTGGGTGGTGGGGGGGTGCGTTCACTGGGTGGTGGGGGGGTGCGTTCACTGAGTGGTGGGTGGGTGCGTTCACTGGGTGGTGGGAGGGTGCGTTCACTGGGTGGTGGGTGGGTGCGTTCACTGGGTGGTGGGAGGGTGCGTTCACTGGGTGGTGGGGGGGGGGTGCGTTCACTGAGTGGGCTCAACTCCCCTACACACCTACTAACTCCATCACACACCTACTAACTCCACTACACACCTACTAACTCCACTACACACCTACTAACTCCATCACACACCTACTAACTCCACTACACACCTACTAACTCCACTACACACCTACTAACTCCACTACACACCTACTAACACCACTACACACCTACTAACACCACTACACACCTACTAACACCACTACACACCTACTAACACCACTACACACCTACTAACACCACTACACACCTTCTAACTCCCCTACACACCTACTAACACCACTACACACCTACTAACTTCACTACACACCTACTAACACCATTACACACCTACTAACACCACTACACACCTACTAACACCACTACACACCTACTAACACCACTACACACCTACTAACTTCACTACACACCTACTAACACCACTACACACCTACTAACTCCATCACACACCTACTAACTCCACTACACACCTACTAACTTCACTACACACCTACTAACACCACTACACACCTACTAACACCACTACACACCTACTAACACCACTACACACCTACTAACACCACTACACACCTACTAACTCCACTACACACCTACTAACTTCACTACACACCTACTAACACCACTACACACCTACTAACTTCACTACACACCTACTAACTTCACCACACACCTACTAACTTCACCACACACCTACTAACTTCACCACACACCTACTAACTCCACCGCACACCTACTAACTCCACTACACACCTACTAACTCCACTACACACCTACTAACTACCCCTACATACCTACTAACTCCATCGCACACCTACTAACTTCACTACACACCTACTAACACCACTACACACCTACTAACTCCATCACACACCTACTAACTCCACTACACACCTACTAACTTCACTACACACCCTACTAACTCCACTACACACTACTAACTTCACTACACACCTACTAACACCACTACACACTTACTAACTCCACTACACACCTACTAACTTCACTACACACCTTCTAACACCACTACACATCTACTAACACCACTACACACCTACTAACACCACTACACACCTACTAACTTCACTACACACCTACTAACACCACTACACACCTACTAACTCCATCACACACCTACTAACTCCACTACACACCTACTAACTTCACTACACACCTACTAACTCCACTACACACCTACTAACTTCACTACACACCTACTAACACCACTACACACTTACTAACTCCACTACACACCTACTAACTTCACTACACACCTTCTAACACCACTACACATCTACTAACACCACTACACACCTACTAACACCACTACACACCTACTAACTCCACTACACACCTACTAACTTCACTACACACCTACTAACTTCACTACACACCTACTAACTTCACCACACACCTACTAACTTCACTACACACCTACTAACACCACTACACACTTACTAACTCCACTACACACCTACTAACACCACTACACACCTACTAACACCACTACACACCTACTAACACCACTACACACCTACTAACTCCACTACACACCTACTAACACCACTACACACCTACTAACACCACTACACACCTACTAACTCCACTACACACCTACTAACACCACTACACACCTACTAACACCACTACACACCTACTAACACCACTACACACCTACTAACACCACTACACACCTACTAACACCACTACACACCTACTAACTCCACTACACACCTACTAACTCCACTACACACCTACTAACTCCACTACACACCTACTAACTTCACTACACACCAACTGACACCAATACACACCTACTAACACCACTACACACCTACTAACACCACTACACACCTACTAACTCCACTACACACCTACTAACACCACTACACACCTACTAACTCCATCACACACCTACTAACTCCACTACACACCTACTAACTTCACTACACACCTACTAACACCACTACACACCTACTAACACCACTACACACCTACTAACACCACTACACACCTACTAACACCACTACACACCTACTAACTCCACTACACACCTACTAACTTCACTACACACCTACTAACACCACTACACACCTACTAACTCCACTACACACTAACTTCACCACACACCTACTAACTTCACCACACACCTACTAACTTCACCACACACCTACTAACTCCACCGCACACCTACTAACTCCACTACACACCTACTGACACCAATACACACCTACTAACACCACTACACACCTACTAACACCACTACACACCTACTAACTTCACTACACACCTACTAACACCACTACACACCTACTAACTCCATCACACACCTACTAACTCCACTACACACCTACTAACTTCACTACACACCTACTAACTCCACTACACACCTACTAACTTCACTACACACCTACTAACACCACTACACACTTACTAACTCCACTACACACCTACTAACTTCACTACACACCTTCTAACACCACTACACATCTACACACCACTACACACTACTAACACCACTACACACCTACTAACTCCACTACACACCTACTAACTTCACTACACACCTATTAACTTCACCACACACCTACTAACTTCACCACACACCTACTAACTTCACTACACACCTACTAACACCACTACACACTTACTAACTCCACTACACACCTACTAACTTCACTACACACCTTCTAACACCACTACACACCTACTAACACCACCACACACCTACTAACTCCACCACACACCTACTAACTCCACTACACACCTACTAACTCCCCTACATACCTACTAACTCCACCACACACCTACTAACTTACACACCTACTAACCACTACACACCTACTAACTTCACTACACACACCTACTAACTCCACCACACACTACTAACCACCACACACCTACTAACTCCACCATACACCTACTAATTAACTCCACCACACACCTACTAATTAACTCCACCACACACCTACTAACTAACTACACCACACAATTGCTAATTAACTACACCACACACCTACTAAGTCCACTACACAACTGCTAACTAACTCAACTACACACCTAACTCCACAGTCTATCATTTCTGTAGGACAGAAAACAGATGTTTTTTCATCCATAGGGCTGTAAACCCATGGAACCGCCTACCCGCCGCAGACGTGAACGCCAAAACTCTGCTTGGTTTTAAAATACAGCTGAAAAAGAACATCAAGGCAAATGGGGAAGGGGGGCCTTTGACAAGCCGCCGGCTTCCTATCCTCGTCGAGGCCACTATTAGTAGTGGCCCTGAGGTAAATTCAGGTAAATCCATCTCTTGCCCTCTTCACCCGCCACCACACCCACCTCCACACCTACACACAGAGAGAAGGTTTCCATCCATCAACACCCTCCTTCAACCCCAACCTAACCTTCTCATTTCCTCACCTCACACAAACTCTGCCTCACTATTTTGGTCTTCATGTGTGATATATTATTGAGTCTATTGGACTAGACGCTTCAGTAACAAAGTTGAAGAGTCGTGGTTGGTGCACCTTGAAAACTAAACGGTAAACGCCGCTGAGGTGAGGATGTCTGGTGAGATGGACTTGGCTGAGGAGGAAGACACTATTATTGTTATTGTCCCGTCTAACGATGACCTCCTGAAGATCAGAGACAGAGTCTTCAGGAGAAGGGAGGAGAGGAAGTTATCCCGACAGAACCCGTACCCAACCACCCGCATCAAGACCCACCAGTATGTAACATGTAAAGATGCCACCACAATTGTCTGTTGCCGGGAGCAGCCAGTATAGCCTCAGCCCCAGGTGAGAGAACCCCCCGCCGCTCCTCTACAGGGACGCGGGGACA